AGTAGAACTTGGCCTCTCTGAACACTGAGCCAGGGCGAGTCAGTAAGACCCTGTCCCACCCTGTCTGCATAGCACCCAGCCAGACATTATAAGGACAAACAGGCCTGGGGCAGAGTGCTGCAGGCGTCCTGGCCAAAGGACAGTTACCAACACCGAGCTGTTTGCCAGTGGAAAGGGGCTCCCGTGTCCAAGGCATGCGCCTGGGTCCAAGATCTGCTCCTGGGCTAGTGCAGGGTTGTAGGATGGGAAGGGACCTTAGCGACGTACTGTCTGAACCCCATCTTCCCAGAGGAAGGAAGGGGCCCAGATGCCCTCCTCTTCCCAGGCACAGTGCAGGCCCCCTGGCCAGGCCCCTGCCGGAGTGAAAGGGCTCTGGGATTCAGGGGTTGCTCCTGTTGTTTCTAGATGGCAGGTGGGGAACATCTTCCTTGGGGGTCAAGAGGCTGCTGCAATCCCAGGGTTCTGCCTGCTTCCTTAGTACCTGCTTCTCTTTCTAAAGCCGCTGCTTACATCCTCAAAGGTTGAATTTGTCTCCCGGAGGGGCAAGCTGAGACTTCAGGGGTGGGGCTGATGCTTTCTGATCAGATCAAGCACTATTTAAAGAGGAGGGGAAGGAAGACAGGTGTTTGTGGCCACGTCGGAGCCGACTTCACGGAGGGCTTTTCCAAGAACAATAGCTGATGCAACTGTTTGGGTGGAGATCATGTCCAGTGTGTGTGACCAGGTCGTGGTGGGTGACTAATGTCCATCTTAGCACGAGTCGAGAGAGCCAGGTCTACTCCCAGCTCTGCCAATGGCTACACCATGGTGAGGAGAGAAGCCAGCTTCCGCCTCTGGGGCTTGGTGCCCCATTTGGGGACTGAGTGGTTATATTAGACTAGTGACTTGAAACAACATTAAAGCCACAGGACTCTTTGTTTATCTGAACTCTTATGTGGAAGTCCATGTGTAAAGCAGCTGGAAGTGGAGCTGTTCTGGCTCACCTGGAGCACCCCCTCCTTTTGCAGGATCTCCAGAGAAACCTGCAGGTTGCAAGGAACTGAAACCGAGTTTGAGAACCACTGGACCTGGTGCTCGAATGCTTTTTTTTTCAGCCCTGGTATTATTTGTGTAGCTGTTTTCTTGTTTGTTCATTTGGCTAATGTCAGTTGGCTCAGTTGCTTGGCTAACATCAACACTGGGTAATGTTTGGAGAGCTCTTTTCCTATCATAATTATGTCATATGTGTTCAGCCGGTCCTTCCATATGGCCCCAGGCTTGTACAAAATGTTGCCTCTTTACACCACCTGATGGTGAGCTAACTCCTGCCTGGTGATAGCAGAAGTAGACAAAGGTGGATAGAAGCTGTGGTTCAGAGAGAACTTACTAGATTCTCTTCCCTCACTGGGCTCACCCAAATGAACACGTGTTTTCCACCCCCATCAGTTTCTGGAGGCTGGTAACTCCTGCTTGTCAACATTCTATCCACTTCTCTCTGGCTTTGGCCCTCAACATCACGATTGTACTCTCACATCAAATGGCAAAAGAAGTTTCAGAACATAAAAAGAATTAATCAGAGTGACTTGTCCTCTGCACATTATTCTCGGATACATTCCCTGGGAGAGGGTTTCTGTTTTTAATGAGATCATTCTTCTGAAACAGCAAGGCAAACCCCTTAGGAGACTCACAGCCCCGGGCGAGCGCTTCTAGGGTATCAACTGCCATCACTCCCCATCCCCTGCCAGTCATCATCCCCCCCGCCACCCCCGGCCAGTAAAGAGCAGGAGCCAGAAGTGGAAGGCCCTACACAGGCAGTCAGGAGCCCGAGTTTCAGTCCCTGCTCATCTCATACCTCAGTGTGTTGTCTGGACAAATTCCTAGCCTTCTCTGAGCCTCCATCTTCCCATCCATAAAATGGGGGAAGAGCACATTAGATGTTTCTCCAGAGAGCCTTCCTAGCTTAAAATGGTTTGATTTTGTAACACCTAAAACATAGCTATGGGAAGGAACCAGGGTAGCTAATGCAAGAACCTCCTTTTCCCCGACCCCATAGGTGGGGCTGTGCTCAGGAGGGAGGACTATATTGCCCTAATAATTCTCGCCCAGCCCAGCCCCCATCTGAATGAAAAACACTGAGTCCTCTGGGAGCCCCAGCCTGGGCTGGAGCCCTCAGTTTCCACATCCCATTTCAGAAGACAGTCAGCCTTCCTCTCCAACCCCAAATTATCACTGCTTCCCTGAACCCTGTGAAAGGTATCAGGATCTCTCCCAACAGTCAGGGTTCTTGGGGCGCCTGCGTGGCTCAGTCGGTTGGGTGTCCGACTCTTGATTTGCTCAGGGGCATGAGATCGAGTCCCACATAAGGCTGCACGCTGGGCATGGAGCCTGCTTGGGATTCTCTCTCTCCCTTTCCCTCTGCCCCTCCCTCCCCCCAAATGTCAGGGTTCTAAACCATCCTGCAAGCTGCTTCAGGTTCTAATCCTCACCTCAGTTCTTCCCAGCCTCTTGTCATATGGTCATTGGAAATGGCTGCTCTTTATTGAGCACCTGTCATGTGCCAGGTATTATATGCATATTATATGCATGGGTCCTGATTATTTTGATCCTCACAATAATCCTGAGATACATTATATCATTATCTCCAACTTACAGGTGAGGAAACGGAGTCACCGGAAATTCAACTTGCCTAGGCTCATCCAGCTGCGCTTTAAAAGGTGGTAAAGCCAAGATATGACTCTTGGCTCCGGCCCTGGAGCTCATATCCTGAATCACCGAATCAGACTGGGGCTCATTCACGCCGCTGGTAATAACGAGAAGCTACTGTGTATTGAGTGCCTGTAGCACAGGAGGCATTGAACCAGACACTTATTTTGTCCTTTCATTCAAACCTCACAACTGGAGGAGGAAAGGTCTTGTTTCCATTCCAGAGAGGTAGCAACTGGTGCTCAGAAACAGTGAATGACTTGTCCACGGGAAGCTGTAGAACGAGGCAGGCTTCAGACTCAGAAGTGTTCAGAACTAGCATCTTGTGACCCTCCTCTTGGTCACACTGCTTTTTAGGACAAATACCTGGAGATGCTGCTCCCTCCACCACAGCTTTGGGAAGAATAAAGAGGGACCACTAGCACCACTCCATCCACAGAGCCCTCGAAAGTGGCAATCGGGCTTCCCCTAACAAGGCGGGCCAGGGGGTGCTTGACAAGGGCTGCTTTTCTTCACTGATTTTTGCCAGAAGAAAGCTAGGACCTAGAAAAGCCCCGATCATCTGAGGTTTCTGTTTCCCTTGCCCAGTTCTGGGTGGTCCTCTCAAGTGATCTGCTTTCTGGTTCCCCGTAGCCCTTAGGGGCACCATGAGACCAGAAGGGAAGAGGGGAAACTGAGACAGAACTCCCTGGATTCAGCTACACCCTAAAACCTCACAGGAAGCTGCTGAGCCGAGGTCTCAGGGCAGAGCTACAAAGGCAGAGGAGGCCCAGGGTGCGTGGGCTCATTCATGCACCACACCTTTGATGAGTGACCGAAATTAAGTGTACCCTCTGCCAGGGTGCACAACAACTCATGAGGTAGGTTGTGCCATCCCCATTTTACAGATAAGGACACTGAGTCTCAGAAGGGTTACATAACTCATCCTAGGCCTCACAGCTGGCAAATAGGATTGAACCCCAAATCTGTGTGATTCCAAAGGCAGTGTTCTTTATGATACACCACAGCGCTTCTGCGTGTTAGGGACTGTGGGAGTGGACACCAGCAAGGGTGAGAAATAGTCTGTGGTGCCCGCACAGAGATCTCTGAGCTGCAAGGCATAAGCAGGGAGGAGAGGGTCAGTGGGTAGTAGAGTGCCCACCTCACCCCCACTGCTCTAGCCTTCTCTGGCGCAAAGCCCTTGCCAGGAGGCCCTCCTCTAGCTAATGTCCTTTTTGGAGAGTCCCCTGTAGGTCTCAGGGCCTCAGTGGGATGCTTTGCCTCAGACAGGCCCCTGGTAGACAGAGAGGCAGCTGACAATCTTTTTGCAGAAGAGATATGGGGGAGAAGGAAGTTGAGAGCAAAGAGCCAGAGAGAAGGAGGCAGAAAAGCTGAAAAGTGGTGTGTGTGTGTGTGTGTGTGTTGTTGATGGAGCTGGACCAAAGCACCCAGCTGCCGACAGGCTCTGCCATGTTCAAGTGCCACCTTGTTGGTCAGTGAGGACTCAGGGAAGGCAAAGGGGCCTTCATGTTGGCCTGAGACAGACAATTAGGAAGGTAAATCCCCCAGAATTTAACCCCCAGTTGCACAATACAACATCGAATCAAAAGGAAACATCTGCATTATTTGCTGCTTTACATTTTTGCCTTCTTTAATCCAGAGCATAGTGAAGAGTTATGGGGGGGGCGCATTTTTTACTTAAATTATATTTACTAGGATTCAACAGAGGGGTACTTTCTCTTTTATGTTTTTAGTTCTTGTTGCCGCTTGGTTCTTCGTATTCCTGGGCTGGTTATAAATACAACTGACTTTACGACGTAAAGATTGGGAAAGTTGTGAGTGGGATTTGGGATGAGAATCAATTGGGGAGCCACCAGACTCAGGCTGGTGGTGGCGGTGATAGTGGGCGAGGGGGCTGGGGGTTTGGCAGGTCTGCCTTCGGGTCCGCACATGTGAGCGCGGAAGCGCTGGTAGGAATCTCGCAGTACGGTGACCGCAAACAGTGAGAGTAGCCTGGACCCGGCAGCGGCAGCGACAGCGCCCGCCAGGCAGGCGCGCGAGCTCAGACTTGGTCTCCTGGAATCTGAGGGCCCGGGCTGAGCAAACCCGGGCGACAGCAACGTCGCGGTGCGGGCTCGGGCGGGCCCAGGCGAGCCCCACCTCCCGAGGCGCCCAGTCCGGGGCCGCGCAGCCATTGGTCCGCACCGCCCCAGCCACCTTCCCCTACCTTTGGGGGCGGGGTTACCTGGGCCCCGCCCCCCGAGGCTCGGGTTCCTAGACCCAGCTTCCTCCTCCGGCTCCGCCCCCGAGCCCAGGCCCCGCCCTCTCCGATCCCTGAGTCGGGGCGCCTCGTGATGTCACGGCAGCTTTGATACAAAGAGCCCTTCGGCCCACGCGGGTCTCCCGGCAACGGGCGCGGGTGGGGGCGGGGCCGGCGCCTTCAACTGGTGCGGAAAGCGAGCGAGCGGCCGCGGCGCGGCGGGGATCGTCTCTGCGCTCCCCGCGCTGCCCGCCGCGTCCCTGCCGGCCCGCGCCCGCCCTCTCCTCGCCCCTCCGCAGCTCACCGACTCGCCGCCACACGGGGGATGCGCACCCCGCCCGCCCCCGGGGGCCAGGTAAGCGGCGGCCCAGGGGCTCGGGCTCGCCGGGCTCCGGCGACGCGCACCTGGCCGCGCCGGAGGCCCCGGGGCTGGGGAAGTTGCCGGAGCGCGGAACTTTGCCCGCAGCCCGGGCGCCCGCTCCTGCCCCGGGAGTGTCCGCCCTTTCGGCCCTGGCCGGGGAGGTCGGGTTACCTGCGTCCTGGCGCGCTGGGCCACGGAAGAGAAGCCTCTGTCTCCGCTGCCCCCACCTGGCCCTCTGCCGGCTCCCAGGTGCAGGGGTGGGCAGGGCTAGCCCGGGGGCGCGGGGAGAGGGCGCCGCTTCTTCGGCGCGGTTTCCCAAAGTGTTTTTAGAGGAATCTAGTGGACTGGGCAGGGGGCTGGTTTGCCAGGACGCCTTCCTCGGGACACCCCCGCCCCCGCTCGCAGCGCGCCTGCCCCTCCGGCACCGGTGTTGTCCCAGCTCCCTGCCCTTGGCTCCGCCGAGTCCCGGAGGGGGCTGTGCGCGGGCCAAGTTTTTCCGTAGCTCTTGGCGTCTGCACCGAGCCTGTTCCCGGGTTCCCTCGCCTCTCCGAGGGGCCTCTGCCGGGCAAGGGGGGAGAACCAGCCTAGTTCGGGGCTTAGAGACAGGGCCCTGGCCCTTCCCAGCCGAGACGTCGCGGAGGCCGGAGGTGTGTGCGGAGTCCCAGCTCTTTGCCCGCCGGCCCGAGAGCCTGCAGGTCCTAGTTGCTGTTGTCACAGTCGCTTCTCTGCGGGCGACTAGCGTCTCTGAGGTCTTGGCGGAGCAGCCTCTGGAGAACCAGCCATATCTGTGCTGTGGGAACCCGGTCTGGACTCAGCCCAGTGTTCCTTCTCATCCGTGCACACCCTCCAGTGTACCTCTTTCTCCATTTATCCTTCTCCCCAGCCATGCTCTCCCACAGATGGCTGTAGGTGACACATCCCTCGCCCTGAGAGACAAGCCAGTGTTCCTGGTCTTATTTACAGGCCGCCTCCTCAAAGGATTGTGAGGGGGCTGGATTCCTGGGCTCAGCCTACACTTTTTGCCTTGGCAAACCCCTGGGTTGGTTTCTGATGGTCCACCAAACCCCTCTCTTCCCTTGGTGGAGGCAGGTGCTAATCGGCTGGGTTCCAGGGAAAGGGGTGGGGCATTCCCCAGGTCCTTCCCCTGGTGAAATGTGGCTGCCAGGTTAGGGGAAAGGGAATCTCAAAGGGGGGAAGGTGACCAGTTATGTGTAAATCAGACCTTTGCTGTAGGGATCTCTGTCTCCCTGTAACTAGCCAGCTCAGCCTTGGTGGAGTCCTTGGGTCGCTGCCATTGACCGGGGTCTTGCCTTAAGCCAGGCACCAGCTTACCCAGATAGACTGGCCGAAACCTGACCCTGCTGAGCTGGCATTCATGAACTGCTTATGCACCCAGGTGCTAGTATGCAGGGACGCTTCCCTGCCCCTAAGGTGTTTGCAGACTGTAGGGACACTGAAAACCTGGGCCAAACTGTTTCCTGGCCAACTGCCCTGAGCCCTCGGGCACAGTGATCTGGGTTGTCTCTGAGGTCCCTGTGACTTCACTGGAGGGGTGTGTGGCCTGGAGGAATGGGGAAGCCAGGGAAGAACTTGGGACTTGTAGCAGGCATCACGGCTTGGGGAATGCCTTCTGGGGAACAGCTTTGTCATTTGGGGGGCCCCAGGCTTTGGTGGAGGGGGTGGGGTACATGACTAAGGCCAGCAGAGAGATAAGGCTGTGCCTAGGGAGGGACCTGACTGGCCAGGCCAGGTGAGACTGCGGGAAGTGTGACCTTTGCCCCAAGGAAGACCAGCGGGAGAGACTACCTTAAAAAGGACCTTTCGTCAAGTAAGGGAAGAAAAGAAGAAATCTGCCCAGAGCAGCTTGCCTTGGGGAGGCTCTGGGTTGCAGCATGAGAAGTTCCTGGTGGATATTCTGCTGGCCCCCACACTTTCCCATCCTTCCGTCTCTTCAGAGCACTCTGCCCCTCCCTCAGGACACTGGCCCCTTTGTGGCCTGCTAGCCCCCTTACCTACGGGTGGGACAAGCTGCCCCCACATCTAGGGCTTGCTCTTCAGCCCTCCTGGAGCCCTCCTGGCTCTCACCTTCCCACATTCCCTCCCTCCAGGTGGCTAGAAACTTCCTTCCCTAGGTCTGGCAGTCCCTCTTCTGAGCTGGCCTTTTATGCCAAGGGGTGTTTCACAACTGATCTTGCTCTTCAGTTTATATATTTTAGCTGTGGGTAGGGAGCAGGTAGAGGTGGAGGGGGTGGGAAGGGCTCCCAATAAGATACCAGGTGAGTGATTCCTGGAAGGCAGTCATCTCCGGACCTTGGATGGAGAGGGCCAGCCTGGACACAGGGTGCCCACTCTCTGGCCCTGTTCTCTGGCTCCTGGCACAGGGCTCAGTGCATTTTGAAAAGGAATAGGCTGCCTGCTGCCTGGTGTCGGCAGTGGGGCGCAGTGCCTTGGCTTTGCCAGCCTTGTACAACCCCTGGGTTTGGGCTCTGTTTTCCTCTGGGTCTGCTCCGTTGGCTCTTACTCGGGAATGGGGCATTGATGGTATCAAATCACTGGCCTTTCCAAGGAGGAGGACTGCTTGGGTCTTTCCCCCGCCTGGTCTACCCGTGGGCTAGTCCTGCCCCATGGTCAGCTGGGCACGACAAGGCGGGCGCGTCGATTTGGCAGACCCGCCTTGTGTCTTACTGGATGTTGTGTGACCACCCGTCCCGGCTGTGGTAGGGCCAGCTCCTCTCCCAGGTGGCATTCTAGGGCACAGACCTTTCCTCAGTTCTGTTTGCCCCGCCCCCACCCAGCACATCGCCCGGCACAGGCAGTTCCTCCATCAGACACTGGAGCGTCTGAGTTGTGCTAGACTCTGTGCTTGGCGCCCGAGGTACGGCAGCGGACATAGCGTCCCTGCCTTCGTGGAGCCCGCGTGGTGGCCGGCGGGCGGGGCGGCCGGACCACAAGCAGGGCGGTGGGCGTTGTGGACTTAAACAGAGTGGGCAGGGAAGTCCTTGCTGAGAAGGTGGCCTCTTGGCAAAAAGCGGTGCAGGCCGAGGGAGCAGCCGCTGCAAAGGCCCTGAGGTGAGGCCACGGCTGACGAGGGAGGCTGCTGTGATTGGAGAGGGAGCCAGGTAGGGGCACGGGACACAGGCTCAGAGAGATCGGGAACCTCTCGTGCTGCCAAGTGAGCGCCCAGACCCCAGGAGAACGGGAGGAGGTGACCAGCACACAGTCGAGACTAGAAATCCACAGGCACAAACGCATTTTCTTGTTCTGTCCTCTGCAAACTCTTGCTGTTGAGGGGTTTGGGCACTGAGGCATTTCTTTTTTTTTAAGATTTTATTTATGTATTTATTTGGGCAGAGGGGAGGCAGAGGGAGAAGCAGGCTCCCGATGTGGGGCTCAATCCCCGGACTCTGGGATCATGACCTGAGCTGAAGGCAGATGCTCAACCCACTGAGCCCCCACCCCGCGCCGCCGGCGCCCCGCACTGAGGCATTTCTTGAGGAAAAGGGTCTGCATCTGGCTGTTGCTGCTGTGGACTTTCCTGTCCTTGGCCCGGGTCAGGTCGGAGAAGCCTGTCCCCATGAGTGTGGAAACCGTTCTTGCTGGTTGTTATTTCCACCACACAGATGGTACCAGCAGAACCCGCCTGGGTGATGCGCGCACAACCGTGTGTCCTCAGGCAGAGCGCCGCTGGGGCCACCTCCCTGTTCCCACGGGTCTGCGCTAGCAGGGGTGCAGCAAGGCCAGCCCCCACATCCTCTCCTTGGACTCCCGGCCTCCCCGAGCCCCAAGGTGCTCAAGCCTTCCTTTTACTTCCACGGGCAGCACACTTCTGGGCCCTGGTCTCCTGAGAAGCCTACTCGCCTACTCGCCTACCTGGGCAGCAGCTTCAGGTCTAATCTCTGTCCAGCCTAGGCGCCCAGAGAGAGAGAGCGAGTGTGTGTGTGTGTGTGTGTGTGTGTGTGTGTACAGGGAGAAAGGGGGCAACCAGAAATGTGTGCATCCTTGGAGGTTTGCATGGAGGTCCAGAGACCCACAAGGGGTCTGCGTGACCTCTGGCCCCGGCCCCATCTGGCAGGCTGGTACAGTAACACCATTTCCAACCCCACTCCTCAACTTCCTTCAAGAAATGGGAAGTTTTCCGACTGTTGGCCATATTCATAATTGATTCAACCTGTTTCCTCTTCCCAGACAAGTGGGTTCTTTCCCAGCAATGTAAACATGATTCAAATGAAAACAAAGCTCCGTGGCAGTTATTATTAATAGCCGTGGCCCTGCTTCTGGGAGCCTTTCTCTTTTAAGGGACCAGAAAGAGGAAGGCCCGAACAGAACCCGAGTGTGGGAGAGTGGGTGGGAGCTCTCACTGTCTTGAGTCATCTGCTGTCACCCCCACCGTCCTCTGCGCTCCGCAAGCCTCACAGCGTGAAAAGGGAACCTGTTCTTGTAGTAGTTAGCCGGTGTGGACTGCAGCAGACTTGGGGTAAGAGCCGGAGGGGGGTGGTAGGCAGAGGCTGCTCTTTGCACCAGCCTCTAGTCTCCCTCTCCAGGTAGGAGAGACACTAGGAGCAGGTGTCTCCTTCCTGCCCACTGGTTTTCCTGGGAGAAATAATCCACCTCAAAACCTGGGTGCCTCCATCCCGTGCTCAGCCACCCAATGCCTATTTTCTTCAAGTAGAATAAAATGTTTTGGAGCCAGAAAGTACATGTGTCTAGTCCCTGGCTCTGCAGCCTGCTCGTTCTGGGACATCAGGCAAGGCACCCTCACCTTCCTGAGCCTCTGTGGGCTGATGGCAAAGGTAAAATGAGCCCCTGCCACCCAATAAGCTCAGAGTGGATTCTGACCCGGGCTCGGTTGGCGCCTGGTGGGTGGTTAGACAGCCAGAGAGGCAGGATAGCGTGGTGCCCAGCAGGCTGGGCTCCAGAGTCAGGCAGCCTGTGTTCAAGTCCTGCCTGGGCCAGTGGCTACTTGGTGCAATCTTAGACTGTTGACCCTTTCTGTG